GATATTTCCAAAATTCATTTGCTTTTATCAGCAATATGTTTAGCATTGTTGGATTAGACGAACAATACAACTTTGGTAGGTTTTCGTTAACCTTGAAGAGAGACAAATGGCTTTGAAAAAAAACGTTCGGCAGCGAGGATCAACAGGGGATCATACAAAAAGGTGGGAAATGCGGCTAACACGGCTTCTTGTTCCCGATCAATATGTTCGTAGTAAAGGATGGTGGGAGTACTTACGGATAAGTAGACACCGTGAAATTCAGATATTTGGAGCTTCAGTATATGAAGCTGTAGTCCCCAAGTAGTTTTCCTCATTCGGAATTTTCCTTAGCTCACCATTTCTCGGAAACCAAAGCATATAGAGAGCTAAAAATTTGCGGCTGTACTTCTAAGGGCTTGTAGCATATAACATCAGTGTAAGAACAGCACTGCATCACTTTGGTAAAAACATGGAAATTTTCGATTTCTAGCTAATAAAAAATACAGCTACAGCACTTATGAATGTTTGATGTGGAGTGTAACCTTTGATTCAACTGGCTTGGCACCATTAGAGCGGGGTTTTGTGATCTAATTGACGACGCTCGCGCCCGCGACGCACCTGCGTCTCTCTCGCGCGAGTGCTCTCTGATCACTAGCCTTGATTAGGTCACGAAGCTCCGCCTTTGCCGATGCCAAGTCAGTTAAATCAAATGGTACATGCGCGAGCAAGTGAGAATCTCTAAGACTTTCCTGAATGGAGGTATAAAAAATTTTTAATTTTTTGGGCATTCCTCTTTGGATTTTGGTTTAAAACTTGAGGTAGATCGAAGCTGGTGCAAAAGCATAAACGTCTTCTTATAGAGCTTGCTTTGCCCTATCGAATGGTATCCTAATGTCTTATTTAGAATAAGAGGTGTATGAATTATTACAGAAAGAACTCAAAAATGAAAACAATACCGGGTACAATGTCTTCGATATTGTTTCCAGTTTTCTCAAACTCTTTTGCGGAGGTCCTTTCGCGAATATGTGAAGCAGCGTCTATCCAACATAGAAGATTCCACTTAGTACCTTTCGATAATACTACAGATTATTGTGCCAGCTCATCAAGGCGAATTTTTCGATATACAATACGTCCTTGATATTTCGATTTCAGTATTCTTGAATCTTTCTGTGAACGCTCTAGGCAAAGGTGTAAAGCAGCGAGCTTTTTTCCAAGTAAATTCCAGCAAGGACCTTTCGATAGTACTTTTTCTGTAGATTATGCTGCGCTAAATAGTAGCTGCAGATTTCTTTTCAAAGGAAAGAGAAGGGCTATTGGATTGTGGAAAAATCTTGTCGTCCCAAATGCTACTTGCCATAACCCTAACTATCTCACCAAGCAGATGTGAGTTTCGAAATTAGCAGGCCGGATAACCTCTACGCGCAAGTTAGAGGTTATAGAGGTTTTCGATCATGCTCTTTACGAAAATCGTGGTCTTTGCGCATTACAGGGCTTTTTCAGAGATACGGTGAAGTGACTGTAATTGCACCACAAAACTGCGTAAGTTTGCTCGCACTTCTCGCATACCTGTCGGAAAAAAACTTGCCTGCTTGCATTCATAAGTCAAAGTTACTAGGAACTGTCCCATCTTATGGTGCATGACTAAGGCTGCAATCTATAAAAATCGCCGAGTTACGAGCCTACAAAAATACGTCCTCATGAATTTTGCCCAAAATGTAAAGATCGCATATTTCGTCGAAAATCCACCGTGAGTGCTTATAAAACACGCTGATCAAAGTTTAGCCTCTAGCCTGGAAATAGCTTTGATATTCAATTGAGTTGCTGAAGCACACGCAAGCACCATATTCAATACAGTGGAAGTCATTGAGCGAAGCGAACATAATATCCGCAATGCGATTGTCATATGTATGACACTATTCACGTCAAAGCAGCGAGCATTGTTCGCGAAGAGCGTTAGCAGAAAGATTCAAGAATACTGAAATTGAAATATCAAGGACTTGTTATGTAACGAAAAATTCGCCTTGATGAGCTGAGCACAGCACTGTTTTCGGATTCAAAATATACTTATCCCGAAGGAATTTATGGCGAGCAGAATTTGGAAACGCGTGATTTTTCCAAAATTCACCAACGCTTTTCTCGCCTTTGGAAAAAAGTCTGAGCCTATTCTTTAACGCACAACAATCTATAGTATCATCGGATAGGACTGAGTGGAATCTTCTTTGTGGATAGGCGCTGCTTCACATATTCGCGAAAGACCTCCGCAGAAGAATTTGAGAAAACTGGAAACAAATATTGAAGACATTGTACCCCCACTCCCAGTACATCAGGGCCTGTAGTAATCCCCCCCCCTTGGAAGTGACGCATAAGGTCGCGACTTAGTTGAAGCTCAGTCGCACTCCGCCGGCCATTGATCACTCTTCGGCTATCTCTCAACACAGTTGTTTAGTACGACAGCGCAGGTCGTGATCCTAGCGCAAGCGAGAGCTCGCGCTCCAAAGCGTGAACACTAGCGCGAGCTAGTGTTCACGCTTCCACATTCTAAAGAAATAGTGTGCGGAGGCGGGAGACGCAGAAAGTAGCGCGAGAGTAGAGCTCGACTACGGGGAACACGCGGAAGGCGACAAATGCCCTGGAACAGGCACGACTAGTGGCCACGCCCTGTCCGAGTTCTCGTCAACTCTCGTCCTTCCAGTCTTTGTACTGGAGCGCGTCTGCACGCTTTCTACATGTTTCGGTTCTTGTGTGATTCATTTTTGTCTCTGTTCTTGTCTATCCTTTACGGTTCTATATCTTTCACCTTCTGTGTAAACATTTTTGCTTTTTGCTTTAGGCCCCGGGCAGACTTCACGCGATTTGATCGTCGCGACTGAATCGCGATGAGACAACTGTTACAACATCATTCCATGCCGATCAACTTGCATTCGGTTGTGATACTTTTCCAGCCCGAAATTTTTGAATGTGAAATGAAAATGAATGGAAATCTTGGCGATTAGATCGCGGCGATTAAGTCGCGTGAAGTCTGTCCGGGGCCTTAGGGGTACGAGGTGTATTATAGATACGGGAGTTCCTTCATGTAGTTGCACATATAAGCGAGCAAGGGGAGTCGTCACCTGACTCATCAGAGGTATGACCTTTCTTGTGTTCTGTGCTTTTCTACTTTTCCATTTCATCATTTTCTTATATGGATATAACCTTATGAATGTCCTCCCCCTATTCATAGCTAGCCTTTTTGTTATCATCAAAATGTTTGCGCGACTTAATCATTCCATTTTAGTTGAGATATTCGCAGAAAAATCGCTTTCAACTTCGTGCGCCATAGCTATGGACTTACGAGGTAAGAGCTCTCACTCACTCCTTCTGCTTGAACTTCGCCGATCGTTTCTTTTGAAGGATGGATCTCACACCTAAGTGCATTCGAAAGAGGCGAGCTCAAGGGCCATTGACGTGAGCATTCTGTAAACTTTGCTACTTACACTCGTGTTATCAGTGCCAAATTCTGCTTAAGTTTAACTTTTGTATATTCATATGGTTTTTTTTTATTTTAGCTATCCTAACGGTCCTAGGTTCTTGTCTTTTCTTGAAGAAATGGTACTTAACATGACTTCATTCACTTGTAAGCAGTATTTCTGTATACATAATGGTCCCTTGTGATACCGTTGTCGATAATGACTATGTGGAACAAATAGACTTACAAAAGAACTTTGGAAACTTTGTACAGGGATTTCTTGTTTTTGAAGTGAAGTTGCATTCTACATTGCTGAGTGATAGTATCATTTCCTTTTTTTGTCCTATATCTGGTGCGATTTTGTTGCGAATAAAGTGGTTTTTCTCTTTGCCCTGTCAAACGAAGAATAGTGAGCAGAAAAAATAAGATAAACTTGAAGTATTGACAAAGGCTAAATTGTGAAAGATATCGCGGCTATATTGAGTTCGAGGTGCGGCTGGATACAAATTGATGTTGACATTTTGCCTGAAAATGAGGATTCTTCTTACTTTTAGACTCGAAAGAAAACTGCTTTGCAGCATTTATTGTGTTTGATTCATCTCTATCCGAATGACAGCTACATAACTGCATAGAACTGATGCAATTCCGTTATCCTTATTCAATGCAGAAACTAATCGAAATATCGTCGGCTTCCAGATTCGTAGAGGTGTGGAGGTGGAGTCTTGCCAACTCACAGCGGGGCGGTTTTTGCTGGCGAGAGAGTACGAAAAGCATTGCTATAACATGGAGGTTTAACAAGTTTATCCTTTTATCAGGCAAAGTCTGCAACACACCTCCACACGAACTTGGGAACTGATCATATGCGTGAGTTAGATGGTGACCGAAATCGAATTTCGCTGCCAAATCTCACACTCAATCAGTTAGCTATCAGCAAACAATCTACGAGTCTACAACTTGCATTACGTAACCTTTCCTTATACACTGAGTGATCACACCTACCAATTTTACACAACGAACTCTTATGGATAAAACAGAATAGTCGAAGACGGCACCGCCACCATTCAGGTGCCAGCCTATGCGCTACAAGAGCGTCAATCTGACTAATTGACTCGAGGCCAGCACTAAACAGCAGGCAAATCTCAGATACTTTTTCCGGCTGGTGACCGGGCGATGACCGGCTGAGGCAACACCTCAATTCCGGGCGAGCCGGCCGCCGGCCGCCCGCCAGCCGGTGTTGGCACGCAAACGGCGCGGACGCCTGCCGGCTTTTTCTCAGCGCAGCGGGTTATTGGGGCACGCCACTTTATCGCAGATTTAGCTTTGCTGACTATGCTATTCTTCTAATCATGTACAGTATTATACAAAAATTTCTTACAATATTTATTCACTCACTATTTACAAAAAAGGCAAAGAGCGGAAAAAACACGAATGGTATTCAACTATAACATACATCTCAACACAAAATTCATGAACATGTAACAATAGCAATATCTTATGTAATAAATAACAATAATAATAATAATAATAACATATTGCAGACCATATACAAACAGTGACCAAATTCGCATTAGTTTCGAGCTTAGAAACAGGAGCTAGAAGAAACGACCCCGCTCCCGGGATTCGTGACACGTATCTCACAGACGAGTAAGAATTCAGCCGCTTGTACCTACAAATAAAGATCATAGGGATCTTACGAAGATGAGAAACAACTGCAGTACGTTACAGCAGCATGTGCCACAATTGAAGTTATGTTATTCTTCCGCGATAAAGATCCATACGCGCGTTACATATTGACCATATATTCACTACCAGTTCCAATTCTAGAAAGAAAGATTAGTTCTTGCACGAGGAATACAAACTATGCTCACCTGTTGCAGTGTGCACGGACAACACTGATGAGCAGAATAATCATTTCCATATATGTCCACTTAATCTCCAAACAACAACAATTAAACAATCAACCATGAAGTTGTTACACACTATATAGAGCAGAATGTCCTAGAATGTTCTCCGGAGTAGACAAACAAGCAGATAATACAGGCGCAACCATAGCAGGAACACCATCATTAGTAGTCTCAAGCATTTCAGATGACTTGTGAACTAATGCACTCCGAGCTCTGAAAAAATGTTATGGGATATTCAGTTTAATATCTAATAAAGATGTCAAACATTTACCTATGAGAGTCCACCTTTTTCGTGGGGATGAAGCAGACCAACAAAGAAAAATCACGTGAAAATACTGGTAGATATTCTTAAGACAAACAATATGACAGCTAGCAACAACAGCTTTCCTAGTCTGCTGGAACTGAAAACAAAGATGAGCAATGAAACATGACAATACACGAGCAGTCATGTAAAGAAAGACACACTACCACAAAAATAATCACGAAAAACAAGATTCAAAAGGTCGTGTAAGGCGCGCAGGATGATGAAATCGCATGCTCACTATTAAATCTGACGGTATTCATGATTTCGTGCGCCTTCGCGCGCTTCTGCGGACACGGCCGGAAGCCAGCCGGTAGCAGTTTCTAGCCCGCTCCTCGGCCGGTTTTAGGCTCCGCCCCAAAACATGGCGCGGCCCTCGGCCGGAAGGCCTTCGTCGCCCGGTCACCAGCCGGAGAATGTATCTGAGATGGGAGGCGTGGCCACCGTTCCCTCGCCTCTGCTGGGTTTTGTCGCCTTCCGCACCACACCCCTCGACTACGCCAAGCTTGCGCTAGGGTATAATCGTGGCGGGAGCCTGGGTACAGTAGCACGGTAGCTCGCCTCCTGCGTTTCACTCTTGTTCTACTAATGGACGGAAATTATGAACTATCTCTCTTTGGTTACTTCTATACTTGCGGCCGAGAACATCATCAAGAGTTTTGGTCACAGTTCAGAATACTAGAGGCAGCTCGTGTGCTCAGTCGACTTACGCCCAAAAATACAGCTGTGTTCGTGTGCTATCTGAGAAGTTTAGGTAAGTTCATCTCCGCAAACTCTGATCTTTTCTTCCAAGCAACTCCTGTTTTGCAGCAGAAGCATTCATTACTTCCCTGAGATTGTTACAACATCGAAACGTTTGGTAGATGGTGCCAAAATGCTCAACATCCCTATATTTGTGACTGAGCAGTACCCTAAAGGGCTCGGTCATACCGTGCCTGAGTTGAGGCTTCAGGATGTAAAACAACACGAAAAAACTAGGGTATGTTTGACTAATTTTTCGTAGTTCTTTCGACCTTTTCTATAGTCATTTCGAGTTTAGTTTATGTCTTAAAAATCACTGTGAGTTTTGGTTTTCGTATGTTTTTATGATGTGGCAGTTTTTTTTGCGCTCGTCAGTGCATTTGCTCAGATGGATGTGCATCCGATACCAATTGGAAAGCCTAAATAATTTGTCAAATACGAACTGTCACATTACAAATTTTTTGAAACAAGAACTTGTTAAAATCGAGAAACAGATGTTTGAGAGGTGATAAAGTTTGGATGTTTACGATTTGACATTGTAATCAACATTAGTCTAAGCGTTACGCGCACCACATTTCACGTGTTCGGCACCCGCCATACTTGATCCTCTTGATCCTCTTGATCCACTTGATCCGCTTGATCGCTTGATCCATTCGTGCAAAACGCGCGTCACTAATTTGTCGTTTGGCGTCGCATACAGCGAATCTTGTTACCTACACGGCACCAAATGACAAACTGCTATGTGCGCGCGTTTTGCACGAAGCGGATCAAGCGTAACAACTATGGCAGGTGCCTTTATGAGTATAAAATGGAGCAGTATTGTTTGAGGTGAAGGTTCAAGGACTCCGGATGACTTCAACGAGCACTCAGAAGTGGTACTTTTGCTGAGCCGTTTCCTTGAATATCATGCTGGGGTCACCGTTCTTCTGGACTATCGCGAGGGTAGTAGTGGTACGTTGAGCTTATTTTGTATTCTTTTCTGCATCTTTTGCTCTTCTATAGCTTGTCCGTCTCAATGGCTCGTCGATTCCATTTGCCGGCCATCAAGGGTCTGATAATCTCCATGTTCTGGACCCTAGAGATCAAAACTTTTAGAGTTTGCCTTCGCAAGATTGTTTTCATGGAATTTATCTTTTCCTTTGCTTTATCTCGTAGGATCAACTCTCTGTTTTATATGTCCACCATGCCATTTTTGCAGTATGTCAATCAATGAATCGCTGAGCTCAGGTTATTCGCGAAAATTTCTGGTCCTTTTCTTTCATTGCTTCTATCATTGTTGTTACCTTCTCAAGTATATTTTTCAGTCTACTCTTTTAGATAAAAATGATGTTTATAGATACTGCTATAGTATGCGTCCTCTGTAATACTTCGCTCTATGGCCTCAACCAGAAATTCAAAATTTTTGTGCAACTGCACACCGAACGTGAGGTGGCTATACAGAGAACGCATACTATACTACGCATACTCGTTCTAAAGTCTATCTGTTTTCCAATCTGCTTTCGATCCATTTATTTGAAGTACCCCTTGTTCGTCTACCATGACGACAACAATTTGTAGCTTTTTCTGGAAGATCAGGGGATTCTCTGAAGGCTTTTTCTATCGCTTTTGATGCCCCTGCCCCTAGCTATATACTTCGATATTTGTGTATTCTCGCCGATTTCGCACATTCAGACTTTCTACTACAACGATACACCAATGGCGGCAGCTGGCGATGCGGCATGCAGACGATGTACACTAATGGGGCACTGGCTACACCCATCTGTGGAGGTACTGATTACACCAACAATCAGTTCAGCTCAGACACTCCAGACTCGCCATATATAGCTCAAGAACTGTTTATGCCGTCTCCGCAACATCAGGCAGCTAAACCTCAGGTGCTTTTATAATCTTTTGTTTATCAAAATGAGCCTTTTGCATAGTACTTATGTTTTGCGATACTTTGTACGAGTCGGAGATCGTAGCTACACATACGCAGTATGTGTTTTTTTTTGTGGCGGTGAAGTGAGATTGAGCTCGTATATTTACTACTGTCACTACTGTCACTTATTGTACAACTGAATCTTTGAAGACTGCAAAAATATGCGGCAAAGATAGGCAACAGAACACCCATCACTTATCCTACGAAAGCGAGACTGTTTTCGGCATTGTAATTGTTGCTAAAGAAATAGCAAAGTGTAAAGAAGATGTGACGAGAGCGCGAAAAGAAGCAAAACAACAAGATATTATCGATACAGTGAATCTCATGCAAACGATCACGACTTGCTTGCAAAAGGTGACACTTATCAAAACAATCTTGCCTTTCCATTTGCTTATCATATGAATTTGTTGTTTAGTCGAAAGAGACTTACTTCGCCCGTTGTGCTGAATTGGAAAAATTGAAAAAGGAAGAAAACGTTAATCAAGAGGAGATTGGCAAGCTATCGACGTTTAGATTTTGGTGTTTCTTTGTGCTTTCAGTATTGACGGTGCACGTTTTCCACCCTGCATATAATTGTCTTTTGTTTTAGATGGAGGTGAAGATGTTCAAATCGAAAGAGAACTATCGTGGCTTTGTTGAAAAAACGAGATGGTCAGAAAAGTTTATGAAGAGAAGATGGAAAGAGCGTGCAAGTTCCAGGCACTCAGGTAGAATGTTTCTTACTCTATTGTCACTCTATCATCTAAACTTTTTTTACTGCGTTTTGATGTCACTTAGGTCTCACATCGCAGCTCTACAACAGTTGCTGCTTTTGTAAGCAGCTCATCATCAAGAAACGGCCATAGCTGGGCCACAGGTAAGCGCTCGTAAAATCTTGGATGAAGTACGTCCGACACGGCTGTACATTCTTATCAGGTATCTGGACAATTTCGCGAATCGCTCCAGCAGCTAAGTGCTGATGATATGGTGGCACGTTTTGTAAAAGCAAAAGCTACTGGGATGGAAAGACCACGTAAGATTGTTTTTGAAAACCTCATTTTTTTTGTTTTTTTTTTCAAGGTAAATGTCTTTTTTCATTGGTATCTTACAGAGCCCGCTGTGTTTGAAGAACCTCCGGATTCATCTATCGTAAACGAAGAGGAGTTGCAAAGGCAACAAAGTGGATCCATGCCTTCATCTAGCTGTTCTTCTGGTGTTGTACCGTCAAACCCTCCTCCAGCTGCTCCTACTGCTGATGGGTTGTTGTCCTTGAACCCACTGGAAGCATGGAATGATGATAAGGAGGCACAGGTAGGCGATGTGAATGATTGTAAAATGTTGCAATAACGTCATGTCTGCATCTCTTTTAGTTTTTTTTTCTGCTTTACATTTTCTCGTTATGCTTCAAATGCATAATAGAAGTATTGGTTTCCTTGTTTGACAGTTTGTCGCTTTTGAGAAGTCTATGATGGAAATCTGAATTTGTCAAAATTTCTTGCAAGAATTGGGTCCTTTTGGGTTTCGAGGAAACTTTGACAGAACATGTAAAAGCAGCCTTCCTGGTGCAATGTGCTTCATCAAAGCTTTGGGGTAGAATTTTTTCTAGAATTCTTGGTTTCGGAACAAAATATAGTGTCCTCTTGAGAGTGTCTGTCAAGTATGGACTTGAGCTCTCAGAGGTTTTTGTGTTAAAATGTAGCTGGCTGACGATTCTGGAAGCTTTTTTCTCTATACTGACTGCAAGTTTCATTTCTCGCAGACAGTTGCGAGAATATGCCTCCGTTTTGAAATTGCAGACTGGTTGATGTTTTTCTTTTTGCAAGTCATGCCCTGCATTATGAGTTCTGCTTCGTAGTCACTTCATATACCTTCGTGCAACTTCTCAATTTCCTATTATAGAGGCGTTTTTGCGATTTTTGCTTCACTCACATCTAAAGCAGAGCTTTTTAAACTCGAACCAGCCCAAAAACTTTATGTTCACAGTAAGATGAAGAAATCAATTCATTTGCTTCTTCCCTTTGTTGCACTATCACCATTTGGATGTACTAGTTTCATCAAAACTATCATGTTTTGGTCTCATAGCAGAAATTTACATCGTTTTTCTAGCTGCTGCCATCACCTACAGCTTCTCACAGTAGCGATTCCACAGCGGGTGCTGCCCACACTATACCTCCGTTTTCGGCGTCTGTTGGAGGTACTGGAACAACAGGTCGTCAGAAGTTGTCGCTCTTCCTTCCGAAAAGAAAGAAGACAATGTCACAAAGTAGCGGCAACGAGGATCATGCGGAAAGTACAGGAGGTGAGCATACTCAATGGAGTACAAGTTTCTTTTGTGTTCTTTGGTAATGCGAAGAGCAACGAAAACATTTATTTTTCTACATTTTCAGTATCTGAGTTTTGTATTCTATTAGCAAATCATTGCATTCGTACATTACAAAAACATTTTACACTGCTTATTATATTCTTGATGATATTCTTTCCTCGCGAAAGTGGTCACGTTCCCTTCCGACGTGACACAAAATTTGTGAATGCTGTGGCGCATTCCCTCTCCTAGTTCATGCTTGAGTTGGCACTTCTTTTTAGTTTTATGCATTTATGGCTAGTCTTTCAAACATACATAGCTCAAGATTTGATTTTCTGCACTTCTCTCACGAACTCCATTGTAATGTTCCACGTTGTGCTCAATTTAGCCAAAGTTACTCACTCAATGGAGTGGCCAGAGCTAAGTTTAGGCTATCTTTGCTCAGGCCATGTAGCCGCGACTGTCAAATAATGCAAAGCAGCTGCACTTTGAGTTACCGAAGGAGAAAAACATTTGCGTTCCGAAAATATTTCAAAGAAGGCCAAGATTGTTTGATCAATTGGGCGTTGTCTGGAAAGCTTTGCGCTACTAAAATTGGTTATTTGTTCTTTTTGTTCACCTGGCTCTAGACTACCTTGTTTTTTTCTTCGTACTGCCGCTATCCATTTCAATTTAAATTTCCATTTCAAAGCATTTCTGTTTTTTTTACTGAATATGTATGATCGGCTCCCGGATTCGTGTGGAGGCGGATCACGGACTTCCCTGATTTTGAGGATAAACTTAACGAGAGAGTACGAAATACAATGCTATAAAGTGGAGGTTTAACAAGTTTATCCAGAAAATCAGGAATGTTTTCGAAACCCCTTTTGTTTGTTTTTTCAATGTAAATGTTATTTTCATTGGGATATGTTGCAGAGCCCGCTATGTTTGAAGAAGCTCCGAATTCATCTATCGTAAACGAAGAGGAGTTGCAGAGGCAACAAAGTGGATCCATGCTATCATTCAGCTGTTCTTCTGGTGTTGTACCGTCAAACCCTCCTCCAGCTGCTCCTACTGCTGATGGTTTGCTGTCTTTGAACGCACTGGAAGCATAGAGTGATGATGAAGAGGCAGAGGTAGGCGATGTGACTGTTTGTGAAATGGTACAACAGTGTCATGTCTGCATCTCTTTTAGTTGTTTTTGCTTCAAATTTTCTCCTGAATCTGAATTTGTTCATCTTCTCATAGAAATTGGGTCCTTTTGGTTTTGAGCAATGCAGACTATTCGATGTTTCTCTTTTCGCAAGATGCCCTGCATTATGAGTTCACTTCATATACCCTCGTGCAGCTTTTCGATTTCCTATTGCGAGGCGTTTTGCCCATTTCCCTTCACTCCCTTCACGCTAGGTGTGTATCAAGCCTGATGCCGTAATTGGCTGCAGTCCTCCCTGATCCTTCTTTTATATCAATTACTTCTCGAATGATAATTCAGTCATATGTTTTCGTATTGCACAGCCCCTCTTTCTTAATAGTATACAACTTTTTTCGTTGGCAATTACGTTGCTTCTTTGGTGTTCTCCATATCGAAATATACTCTTTCTTTTGCCTTCGAAAAAAAGTGACATAGTCCATGTTCTGCATCTTCTGTTTTTCTGTTTCGCTTTCACTATCTTATTTTAGCATGTTTTTTCGTCGCTAATTCTCTCACCGATGGCATCCGATGCGGCAAGCCTCATTCAATGCTTTTTGCGAAGTCAAAGAAAAGACAGGTACGCTCTCGTAAATGTACAATCATAAAGATGAAAATGTTGTACTTGGATAGATCTACAGTGTATTATCGTTAACGTGAAAAGCTCAGGATTGCTCTGGCTGGACTATAAAGATTTTCGTTTTCTTGTGATTGTGAGCCATGAAAAAAATACAGCAAGTGTAGGAAATATATGGATACTGATACGTATAGTATGGTGGGAAGTCCCCAGGTTTCTTCGCCTGAATTTTGGCTGCCAAAATTCAGGCGGATCGAACTTTGGGCAAATGCTTGGATTTCTTTGGAACTTGATTTGTCTATCCAGCAGTGATGACATTACAAGAAGACAAAGAAAATAATAGTTCGGTTGAGATTGATATGATAATGACAATGATATTGTACTATAGATATTATAGATATAGATATCATAGATATTCAAGATATTTGATACTAACTCTCCAGCCCGCTATATAGCTTTGTGAGTGAGGAAATAAGATCCGGCAAAAGGCGTTTCTGAAATAAGGAGTCATACAATCCAGCTTATAAATTGTACCAGTGAATGTGTTTAGCTACGTAATTTATGCAATGAGAATCCAAAGCTTTTGTTGAACTAAATTCTGTTAATGTCTAATCTGAATAGTGCTTCGTTTTTTGATGTTATATGATTTCAGCGGATTTCTACGACTGCTGGAGATGACAGACATCACTGCTATCCACATTTTACATGTGGATTTGACACGGAAAACATTCAGCGGGTGTTCAACGATTGTCGCGATATCATTCAGCGCATTCATCTTCGGCTACGAGCTTTTGTAGTTGTTTGCTCGCTACTGCGTGTCGTTCTCTCTCACGCAGGTCATGTGTCATGTGCTGAGTTATCCCTTAGCGCTGTTGCTCACCTGTTACTCACCACATCCAACAAAACTCAACAGAACAACTAACAACTTGAGAATGTCATTTGCAACAAATGAAAAAAAATGGTTCATGTCCCTTCCCCCTTATTCTGTGTACCTAAGGGAAGCCATTAGTGCTGCGGTGACTGTAAAGTCATTTAGAAATGACAACTTCTTCTATAGCAGCTCGAAGAGAAGCTGCTACACAACGTCGACTGTTGAAATTGTTGAAGCTCATCGTGAAGGATTGGATGGATATCGGAGCAACCTCTAGTGACGTGATTATAATAGAAATCATCAAGAGAAAGGAAATCCTCTTCGATCTAAGTGGAATCCGGAATCCCGAGGCAAGTAGAAGGAGAGCTCAAGCGTGGAAGGAAGTGCAGGATGCGCTACTTTTTCAATGCAAAAAGCTACTCAGTTGATCAGATAAAGAGAGTATGGCGCAACAGGAAAGCGCATGTCCGTGAGGTAATATCAAAGAAGCAAAGGTAGATTATGCCGACTTTTCGAGCTTGACGCCTATAAAGAGCCTTTCAGATACGGAAACTGCACAGGGGGGGCAGTGCTGATTACGCAATTTTAAGAGCTGTTTTTTCCTTGATTGAAGGCGAACGGATGTTGGCGAGAACGCTGAGGAGGGAGGCTATTATGGCGGGATTGGGCAAGATGGAAACTTACGTGGATAGGGTATAACTTTGCTTTGTTTTGTATACAGTATGAACATATGGTTTATTTAGGGAAAGACTAGTGCATATCTAGAAGAAGGGCAGGGAGGGTGGAAAAAAAGGATTTGAAGTCCAATGCACTCGAGGTTCAAATCTATCAATGATGTGTTAACAACATATACTCATTTTTTTATAGAGGCAATACTGTGAAAGTGATATATTCGGCGAAGATAGCGTGGGAGAGCGGACTGAAGGGCAGCGAAAGGATGATGGGTGGGTAGGGAGGGACTTCCGAAGCAGTTTGGAAACAACGAGAATTGACGATGAAGAGGTACAGTCATGGCTCAATGCCCTACTTCGCATATACTTGAACTTTTCAGAAACGAACACGGCGGAGTAGTGGGAGTAGAAGTATTTTTTCCTCCGACACGGAGGGACCGGAAGGAAGGGAATGGCGGGAAGGAGGGCGGGCAGCAAATGGGAAGAGAGGCGGCGGGAGGGAAGGGAGGGATTCGCCTGCTTATGTTAATAAGGTAGGATTTTCACTCATTCTCATTTTTTTTCCCCTTCCACTCTTTGCAGAGGAATGGGAATAGCGAGAGCGTTAGTCCTCTCTCGGACTTATCATCGGAGGGCTGGAAGCATACACGGCGGGATGGTGGGCGGGCAGATTTGCAGGAGGAAGGCGGGAGGGTGGGTGGGACGAAACGCTCCCCTCCACTCATTCCTCCAGAAGAGCTGGCTGAAATCAGAAAGAGAAGAATCATGCAGCAACTGGAGGACGTAAGTTTATTTATTGTCTTTACTATAGAGTCTAACGTGTTGTTTGCAGTTCGACTCTGACTGCAGTAGTTCCCCGCAGCACCGAAATTCCGCCTCAACTAAGCAAGTGACGAAGCTCCAGATGGAGCTCTTGAAGGTACGGAATCTTTTAAGAGTACAAAAATTCCCTGTAATTTTTTGCTCGTCATATATAGCCTTTTTTTTAGGAGGAGCGGGCCATTTTTACGAAAGTGTCAATTGCCATGGATAAACTACTCACCGTGCTGGACCGGCAATTAGAGCTGAGTAATGCGCTCTTCGAGCGCATTCGGGGTAGCGACAATGCAGTCGCATTTTAGGCAAAGCCAAGTTGGGATCCCGTTGAAGGGGATCCCAACTTGGCTTTGTCTGAAGCCTCAAAGTCGTTGCATCATTGAAATATTGTTGAAATATTTGTTGTTGATGTTCAAAACAATTAAGTTGTTGTTAAAAATTGTTATGAACAATAGTTTGTTGTTGATTTTATTTTTAATAAAAATCGTTGCACAATTTGCGTACTAAATACACAATGAAATAATCTGTCATTACTTGTGATAACGGGCTAAGGATGTTTACGTGACTTTGTGTGTGTGCGTCTGTTACGAAACTGTAGAGCGTGTTCCAGCCAACCTCTTAGGCTCAAATTTTGCACAGCGCATGCTGCCCGCATGAAAGTCGAACGCGCAAAAGCACGAGCAGATTTGTTGAGTGCATTTCCTCAGAAGCGGAGCTTCAAACGGATCCACTGGGCTTCCGCTCACAAAATTGATTTGGTATTTGCACTTTTCGCATAGTCGTGGATGTGTTTGGGAAGTAAATGTGTAAGCAATGAACTTAGGCCCAACAAAGTGATCAAAAGCCCATACTTTACAAAACCGGTGCCAAAAAGTATTGGTTGCGTAAATGGTCAATTTGCCAAGGTTCTACCAGAGCATTGACGAGATTTCTACACAAAGATGTAGCTCACGGTAATTGCTGTTCTTATTGCAATTGTCAAGACCATGGGAAAATTCAGAACCTGTAGAATCAGCGTTTGTACTCCTGCAAAAAGTCTCATCCACGCGAAATCACCGGTTTCACTTAAAAAAGCTCTCGGAATGAGTGGTTGTTTACATTTTGTTCGTGATAATTGGCATTGCTCGGTGAGTTCCAATGCCATCATTATGCGAGGATGAGTAGGGCCTATATAGTAGAGCCAGTTCATAGTACTGTTATAGTTCATAGTACATATATAAAAGTGTAAATTGTTGAAGGTAAAATGTTAGTTAGTGTGTTTTTATGATTCGTGGCCAAATTCTCGCTCCTACTATTAACACGTTTCAGACCGCTTGCCGCATATATTTGTTCAAGAGATATAAGGACAAATCGAACGTCAGTTGCAACGAAGTGCAGCAACGCGAACGACGCTGCGACGTCGCAACTTTTCCTATAGGCTGTATCAGCCGGCATCGGTCCCGCGCCAGCAGGCCTTGCGACGACGCACCGTCGTATGCGGCGTGCCATAACGCGTGGCAGAGTTCGCGCGCTCCAGATCGCATCGACGCAAATCGCCACACGCGCGACGTCGCATGACCGATGCTGGTTGGTACAGCCTATAGCTTTGAATGCAAAGAGAAAAACCGTAGCTCCAATAATGATGTGTATCGTGTACAACATACATACTTTTGGACACAATTAGAAACTGAGTTCTTATTCCTATCTTTTGAGAAAGCAAAGAAGTCCTTCTCAGACGACAAAATTCAAACACCAACTCACTCACAACTTTGGGTATGGATCTTATCTGACATGCTGACCATGCAGCACACAATCTACGAATTAAGGTCCCTTTGTTTTTTCGCTGCGCGCGATCTCGGGGCCCGAAACGTTAATATATCGATTCTGAAGAAAAATTTTCTATCACTACTACCAAACTCCACCTGAAGTGTGCATTTTGACGACCAAGCTGAGCGAGCTAGGATGATGCCGGTGGCTGGGCTGCACTCAAACCTAATCAATGGTGTTGTGGGAGCTATCACGGAGTTAGCACGGAGCTGGCACGGAGCTGGCACGAAGCTGGCACGGAATGGGATTGGCTGCAGAACCATTTTATAGTCACGCTGGAGCTGGCACGGATCTGGCACGACGCTGGCACGGAATGGGATTGGCTGCAGAACCATTTTATAGTCACGATGGAGCTGGCGCGGAATGTGATTGCCTTCAAAACCGTTTTACACTGAGAGATGTCTCAGCCCGTGCCAGCTCTGGCACGGGCTGAGACATCTCTCAAACTCGGACTAGTTATGGGGTTTGTTGCATAATGATGTATCTACTATATAGTATGATGCTTTATTAGAACTGACAACAGCAGCATGTAACAATTCAAAAACTAACATTTGTAACGCACATATTATTAAATACGGGTCTCAGAAAATAATTACATACAACTGACTAGATAATCACGGATGTTGGCGCAGTTTTCTGGCGGATGACGGGATACAGCTAGTCTACGCCCAAGTGTTCTTGGACGTAGACATCCCATGGCCGTCATCATGTTATACAGAACTGCGCAAGCTATCACAATCTTAGCTGCACGTCTTGGAGCCAAGCGGATCTTATCCTTCAAAATTGCGAACTTCCTCTTCCACACTCCGAACGTGCACTCAACGATGACATGCATCTTCGAGTGCCATCGGTTGTAGGAGACTTCCTGGTTCTCGGATTCCTAATGGGAGTGACAACATCACTTCCATTAGGAAATCCGGAATCTCCAATTAAGCTGTAGCCATGAGGAACCACACCTTCTTCGTAGGCTTGCTTAAGCTGCGAAGCGGCAAAAACGGTTGCGTCATGGACAGACCCCGGAAAGTTCGCATTTATGTAGACAAACCGTCCGCGGGCATCTACAGCAGCCAGCACATTCAGGGCCGTGAAGCCCTTGCGACAGTAGTACTGCCAGCCGGAATGTGGTGGCTTCTGCAGTGGTATGCAGCTTCCGTCGACGGCGCCGATGATGTTTGGAAACGGTCCTGTCCGAGCGAACGCGGCGGCGCACGATCGACAATACTCTTCGTCCCCTAATCGGCAGCGGATGAAGTGCCGCACGATTAGGGGGTTGTTCAGTTTCTGCATTACAGTCAACATCTATATGATAAATATGGCGAAGCTGATTGCAACTCTTTGCAAAAAGAGTCACCACACGGGATCGATCCCCCACTGACACTGACACCACTCCCGCGTACAGTCACTGCGCTATAGAGACGCAGGTGTGAAAGTCTTCAGTGCCATATGTATTGCTGGGGCATGCAGCAGCAATACACTATTACAAATTTAATACTCGCAGTAATAACAATTAAGCAACAGCCTGTAGCCTTACCTTGTTCTCTAAGTCGACGGACCAATGTGAAGTATGACGACCTTTCATAATTGGCGCGATGACGCGGCAAATCTTCATAATGTGGTGTTCCTTCATTCGAAATTTCCGCGCCAATATCCGCTGATTCTGGTGGAAAAGTCTCAGTGGATGAAGCCGACTATAGCGGATGTTGGCGGTCCTCCTCCCGCTTCCTTCCACAAACACGAGCATGACTCTGCAAAATGAGATAAAGAGCTTTTTTGACGGCTTGTTTTCGTAGAACAACGAAATGCATAGAAAGAGAACAACATGACGCGCGCAATATGATGGCAGCCTTGCATGGGTTTTCATTGATTGCTTTATCACTTGAACATTTGCTTACATATGCGTACTCGTCTTGAAAAGGCCCGCAAAGCATTCAGTGACCATAGCGCAGTGGCAGCGCGCGCGGTTGACGATCACTAAAGGGTTTGACCGCGCGTGATCGCCCAAGTTTTGCGGAGGCATTGCGAGGCTCCCGCTAGGTTCGTGATTTACGCTGAGCTGTCGCGATCCTAGCGTGTTCTTGTTAGTCACGCTTTCGGAGGGATTACTACAGGAATTCCGCGTCCGCGGAAGTCCGCGCCGAGCTGAATCTAATGGTTGTTTTGGATTCAGAATTCGTCCACTTTGAAGCGAGATATGGCCATGCGACGGTAATGTCCGTACATTAGGCGACCGTCGCATTACTCATGCGACCGTCACAAAACTCATACGACCGTCGCATGAGCTATGCTACGTTCGCGTCTATTTTTCAAAAATGTGAGCGGTATTGTAGATAGAATCTTTTGCGATTTTTGAATGTCGTCTGATAGAGCTCGAGCTGCTTTATCGGATATGCTTCTTGGCTTTTTTGCATTTTTTTGAAGCGACGGAAAAAAGAACAATCACTGCATTTGTTTTGACTTGATAACATCGACACAATCCGATTTGGACAAATGCTCGAAATGTCGAAACAACAATCACAGTGCATCGGCTTGAGTAATAGATATTCATTCGACGGTTGTTATTCCTACGTCGGTAGCGGAAAAAGGTGTAGGGCAAAAATCTGAATTGTTCTATTCTCTATTTTGATTAGACTGATGAGTCTTTGAAAGAAAATTTAGTAGTCAAATCTGTGCGTTTGTTTGAAGCACTCGGGTAGTGCATACGACACATCACACATTTTGAATAAAAGACTTACAGTAACAGCTTGCGTCAAGACTATGTAGAAAGCAAAAAATGTAAGGGATGAAATGCATAAGATTATGATAAATTCTAGTTACCCTTTAGATTAGTGCGTAAAGCTTCGCTCTTCGCAAGCATAAAAATTCATATTGAAAAACTTCTCCTACAACTAAGCTTCCTCGTGATCGTTCAAAGTGCTAGTCAATAATCTTTTCACCTCCATTCACCAAACAAGCAGAGAAAAAAGAAGGAAAAATAACAAGCATTTTACCAAACAACTGGTCACAGGGGACACTTTTGAGACTATCGACGTTTTCGCTTTCTTCAGAATTACTTGCCGTTCGCTCATCAAAAAGTGTTGCTTTATTTACGCCCAACGCAATGCTGTTTCCTCAATGATTTTTGATACTTTTTCATTATCTAGGTTCTTTCTCATAAAAAGCTCTCATGTAATACGTTCTCCGGCCTAAAAATGATTTTCCGTAGAATCTACGAGGACTGCCTTTTTGCCTCGTATCACAAAATTTGACACGTTTTGGACATGTTTTTTTTGAAGTCATTTCCGGTAAGGCAAAAAAATTGTATTTACATAAAAGCTGTTTGAATATAATCTGTGAGGGCAAAATAATTTTGAACCTGTTTCAAAACATCTTGATTCAGCAGTGGTTCAAAAATGTCTTCCTCTTTAAATTCTTTTCGTCACTCAACTTTAGCCAGAACATAGTTGATGGCTTGAAGAGCCTTGCTGTTGCTAATCCGCCTCTTAATTGACAAAATCCTAGT